GTTCATAAATTGGTCTACATAGCTAACTGCCTGCAAAATGTGTGTCAGGTATAGTATCAAAGAACCTTGAGATGCTAATCCACGAAAAACGGTACAAAAAATTCAAAGGAACTCATCTAACTAACTCCACAAAAGAACCTGTAAGTTTGCCGCTAATGCTACTTCAATGAATTGTGAAAGACACAAGAATTAGCCTGGAACAGTTCCTTTGTGGAAATGTATGCAGCCAAACAAAGACTACTCGAATTGTTCAAGTGGATCTAGTAGCTTAGTAATTACCTTAGCTTGTCTTTAGTAATTACTAAGCTGATTGAGCGTTATTCCATAGAGATCTCAACCTGGCTGTGAATGAGATTTCCAACTAGTCTCTGATATATCTCTTTGTTGCCATAGTATTTTCGTTTCCAAAGTTGTAATTAGGATCAATTGGAGTACTGGTAGGTTTACACCCAAGCATTCCAATTTTCTTGAGAGAAGGTTTACCCAACTCTTTCCTTGAGCGAGCCACTTCAATGCCTAGGAAGTATTTTAGAGGTCCTAGATCTTTTACTTTGAACCTTTTCCCTCTCCCGTTCTTTCTTGATTTTGCAGGGTAGATTTTAATGTTACTAGATGGTCTCATGAGAAATCTACTTCCAGCTCCAACTAGAAGCATGGAAATTTCAGCCAATTCATTGAATATGCTAGCCTCATTGATATGCTAGCTCTTCCAAAATGGTTGATTTACTTGATTTTGTAATCGTGCATCCTCCTATCACTCTTTGATAAACTTGTTATCTTACGACCCGACTTTCCGAACACGTACCAATTAGAGCCGTTACATGAAAACAAGGCTTTTGTAAGGAAAAGATGTTTTGATACAAGTAAACATGCTCAGGGTACCCTTTAAAATAACCTTTGGAAGGCATGCATTTAAAACAAATCAAACTAACACTACAAACTTTTGAAATGCACAATCAATTCACAATCTCCCTGATCCACGTAAACCAAGAGTTTTCAAATACAAACATATTAATGTAGAAGCATTTGAAAACATAAAAACACTGGAGTCAACCCATGGTCTGTTCGCTTCACCCTATTCACCCTACTCAAACTTTCTTGCGCCATTCCAACACTTATTTAATCTAGAGTTACTTGCCTAACCCTAACAGAAAAACATCCTAAAATTAGCTAAATCCATGCAATTCAAGCCAAGGCAAGGAGAATTAAGGTCTACTGGCCTTGAAAGTCGAAGTAGAATGAGAAAAAGTGGTAGGACCAAAACTGGTCCAATTAAATTGGAGTTTGTGAACCAGTTTGATTGAACCGCTGGATGCTGATCCCAATATCGAAACAGTCACTCCTTGTGGCTTCAGCTTTTGGAGCTATGTCTGCTGCGCGATTTTCAACGACTACAGTTCCTTAGAAGCGGCAGAGACGACTTTGCTGCAACGAAGGAAATCAAATAGTGAGAATCCCTTGAGTTCTAAGCCCAAATCATAGCAAGATTGGGGAAATACACCCTTATGTTTGCTCCAATGTGGTGGTGGGAGGTAAGTCCCACTGGTGGTGGATGGTGATTGGTTGAAGAGAACAATAGAACTCGAGCGGTGGCAAAATCCCTTAATGAATACATGACGACGATCGAAGGAAAACACAAAAGATTTGGTGAAGCCAAGGAATAAATGCAACAACCTGGATGACGACGGTTGATCTTGGGCTGCGTGCACTATGAGAGGAGCTGACCTCACTCGACTTTTATAGCGAAGTAGGTCTGCGGCTAGTTTTTCCCGTTTTCCCTTCAAACAAATTTCAAGATGTTACAGCTTCCTCATTTTCCTTCAAACAAATTTCAGGATGTTACAGCTTCTCATCTCAGAAGGCTGCCTTTGCAAGTCTGGGCATGGAATTGTTGGAAGATTAGAGAGAATTACATCCAACCACTTTCCCCATCGTTCTGACACTTGGTTGGCAAAGATGGTTTCCTTCATTCTTCAAGTTTCTTTTACACGCGCTTAAATAATTATTTGTAGCACCCCAGGCCCACCGCTAGCAGATATTATCCTCTTTGGACTTTTCCTTTCGGACTTCCCCTCAAGGTTTTGAAACGTGTCTGCTAGAGAAAGGTTTCCACACCCTTATAAAGGGTGTTCCGTTCTCCTCCCCAACCAATGTGGGATATCACAGTCCACCCCCTTCAGGCCCAGCATCCTCGTTGGCGCTCATTCTTTTCTCCAATTGATGTGGGTCCCCCACCAAATCCAACCTCCTTCGGGTCCCAGCGTCCTTACTGGTACACCGTCTCATGTCTACCCCCTTTCGGGGAACAACCTCCTCGCTGGCACATCACGCGGTGTCTGGCTTTGATACCATTTGTAACGGCCGGGCCCACAGCTAGCAGATATTATCCTCTTTGGGGTTTCCTTTTCTGGCTTCCCCTCAAGGCTTTAAAACACGTCTGCGAGGGAAAGGTTTCCACACTGTTAAAAAGGATGTTTCGTTCTCTTCTCCAACCATATCACACTATTCTTCTTTTTCCTCTCTTCTAAAAAGTTGGTGGAGAGCAAACCCGCTCGTTGCTAACTGGGCCATGGTTTTTTCAGAAGCTTAAAGCATTCAAAAGTTTTCAAGGATTGGAATGTAAACACTTTTTGGCAGTTCACTGCTAACAAAACATCTCTTTAAAAAAGCTTGTCTGACATAGATTCTTTGGAAGAATTGGGTTCATTGAAGCCTAGCTATTTCCAGAAAAGGGTTGAAATCAATTTGAACTTCTTTCTATTGCTGCTTCTGAGGAACCTATTTGGCAACAGCGAGGTAAATTACAGTTGTTGAAAGTGGGTGATGGAAATACCTTCTTTTCTTTTTTTTTCCCCCATCGTATAATTACTGCCAATATGGCATGGAACACAATTGTTGAGGTGCTTGCTTGGTCGGGTATGAGGTTAGTTACTGACCAGGACATTGAAGATGAGTTTGTGACTTCTATAGAGCTTTATGCACTTGGAAAAGAGGTGGGCACACTATTGTACATTTTACTGGAGTCGCAGATTCTTTCTGCTGTTAACGAAATGGGGCACAGACAGTCCCTGGGGCTTCACTATTGAACTCTTAAAAAAATCTTGGAACATCCTCAAGATGGACATCGAGAGTGTTCACTGATTTTTTTTTTTTTTTTTAGAATGCTATTATCGATGCCAGTATGTTAATGTGACCTATATCTGTCTTATCCCTAGAAGAATTGATGCTAAATCGGTAGGCCTTTAAGTCTTACTGCTTGCCTTTACAAAATCATTATGAAGGTTCTCTCGAAAAGACTAAAGAAAGTGCTTCCATACACTATCTCCGACTACCAATCAGCCTTTGTGTGGCTAATAGATAGCTGTACCTGCATCTTATATTGCAAATGAGTTTATTGAAAATAGACGTTGCTAGAAGGAACCAGATGTGGTGATCAAATCTGACATTGAAAAGGATTTTGACGAGGTTGGTTAGGACTTTCTAGACCTTATTCTTCAAGCTCAGGGTTTTGGGCATCCTTGGAGGAGGTAGATTAGGGGTTGTATTTCATCAATTAACTTCTCCAACTAACTTCTCCAACTAACTTCTCCATCATTAACAATGGCTAGCCCTGTGGAATGATCATTGCTTCTACAGGTCTTCGACACGGTGATCCTTTATCACCTTTCCTTTACACCATTGTTATGGATGTTTTTTTTTGTAGAATGTTCTCCCTTGCAGAAAGGAGATGCTTGATTAATGTATTGGAAGTGGGTAGGACAGACCACTGTTTTTTTCGATTACTCCCTTACAATTGCGGATGACACTGTTCTTTTTTCATCTCCAGAGGTCTCTCACATTAATTATTTGTTGTATTCAAGAGTTTGAAGAAGCATCCGGGCTTAATATTTATTATCAGAAACCGATTTATGGGGGTTGATCTCGATAATTCTCCTGCGGAATCGTAGGCTACCGAATGGGGTTGCAAAAAGGTTGGTGACCTGCTGTTTATTTGGGTTTACCTTTGAATGGCAAGCCAAATTCTAATTCCTTTTTGCTGTCAATTGTTGAGAAGGTGCAGAAAAGGCTACGATCTTGGGAACCTCATATGTCAAAAGGGGGTTGATGAGACACTTATTCAAGCTACTTCGGCTAATCTCTCCATCTACCATCCATCCCTTTTTCCTATTTACTCAAAATCTTCTGCGTCTATTGAGAGATCTTTTAGGAACTTTTATTGAAGGGAAATTTTCACAACTTAAGATGGGATAAAGTTAAACACCCGTTTGAGGAAGGTGGCCTGGGGATTATTGGCCTAAAACTTAAAAATGTATCCTTAATGTTTGAATCGATTTGGCAATTTCACGAAGAAAAATTTGCTCCACGGAGGAGCGTGCAAACAACTTCTCAACAAGCATCCAACTTCTGGAGTTTTCTCCTTGAAGTTTTTGGTTGGCTTCTTCCCCCTTGATATGCAACTTTTTCTCTCTCATATGATCACTGGCCACCCTTTCAAGAAAGAAAGGAAAATCCTTTGGCTGAATTTTATTTTGGTTTCTTTTTGGTCCATGTGAATACCTCAATTCACCTATCTTTACCGAAAAGGACCTAGACCCACACTCCATACGTACCTCAATGACTTTTTTGGCACTCTCTTTGTGTAAATTGAATGCACGCTTTTGAAACTATAGTTTAACTACTCTCGTGACCAATTGGAAAATTTTTTTATTTAATTTTCTCTTATGAAATGTTGCTGTTTCTTTTTTTTTTTTTTTTTTTTTTTAATTTTAAAAATTGTATTCGTTAGATTCATAATGAAAGATTGATGAGTGTTTATACAAATATTTAGCTTTGTTTTTGGAGAGGACACTATTTCCAGTACTTACTCGAGCTTGATTTAAACTGACTCGATCATCAATTACATGCATAATAAGCGAGATTGTCCAAAAAGACTAAATGTGGGCATTAGTGAAAAAAGCACATAACCTATCTTGGCATACATTTTTTCTTCTTTTTTGTAGAAAAAATGCCGAGGATGCAATACAGGGACTGAATGGAACAGTTATTGGCAAGCAAATTGTTCGTCTTTCTTGGGGCCGAAGTACAGGGAGCAAGCAGGTTTGACCACGTGCCTTTTCCTTTTCAATGTTTGCCCATCTTTACTTGTCACTTGTCTTCTTGTGAATTTTTTTAGATTATTAGTTTTTAAAACTCAACATATGGCCTATGATCTTTAGAATATAAGTGTAGAAATGAGATTTGATGATAATTAGACACTGCTTGTATACAATATTAGACACATCAAAATCTGATGAACCCATGTCAACAACTTTGAATATATGTCGAACATTTATTGGACAAAAGGAATAATGGATTGATTTTAAAACATATGAACATTGATTTTGAAAATATGTTTATTTATGTCGAATCATCTAGAGAAATATATATTTAGTTTCTTCACACTATGTTCCACTGTTAGATCCTCAGGCATCTTTTTCATTGATCTCTCTAAACGACAATAATCGTAGCTTTTTTCCTCGGTTATATGAACACATTTTGAGGGTACTTTATCTTCAAAAGCCTTCGACGATGAACAGCCACTATTGATTCCTTTTCATATTTCTGAATAGTCTTATATTATATGTTGGCAGTGGAGAAGTGATTCTAATAACCAATGGAATGGAGGACGTTATGGAGTCCCAGGCTACGGTGGTGGATACGGTGGTTACTACGCAGTACCACAGCAGCAGGACGCAAACACGCAAGCCACAGTTGGCGCAGAGTTAATGGGTCATCTTGCCCCAGCTGCCGCAGTTAATGGCTCATCTTGAGAAAAGAGTATGACATTGCATCAAAACACCAATCTCTTAGCTTATTCACTTTGTTATAGGGAATTTATTTAAGTTGTGCTTAACTGAATCTTTATTTACCGAATCATGTGGCTTCATAACATTATTTCCTCATCATGCTTGCTACATCTGATGAACAATTTTGGGGTTTGGGTAGATTTCTACTATTATTATTATTTTTTCTTTAAGTTTAAATTTACAGATTATTATAATAATAATAATAATTATTATTATTATTATTTTCGTACATAGATGTTTGGAACCATAATGTTTAGACTATCCTAGTGACATGGAAACCTTAATCCATTAGTGAAGTAGTGACGAATGACGTATTCACATAGTTTCGGAAGGTTTTTGGTGAGTCTTTTTGCGATTAAGCAATAACTTTTTTTTTTAAGCGTGCTACTTTGTTTGACGTCATTTGTGAAGCCACGACAGAGGTATATTCAACATAACGCCCTGGCATAAGTATGACGACAGTCTCTTATGGTAGCTCCTTGTCGTTATGACTCTTGCATGCACTTGCTGTTACTTTAAACGTATATTGGAAAAAAGAACCAAACTTGCTTTTCACATGAATTTTTCATTTTTAAGATTTGATTTCTCCAATAATTTTCTATTCTAACTTATAAGCTAAAGCTACATGCATTCGACTTATAATTATATATATATATATATATATATGTATGGTGGATCCATTTTTGATCAATTTAGGAGGTTTCTCCAATTCATCTCCAACCCAATTTCCCTCAACTTTACTCTTCTTCCTCTCCCACCTAATCCTTCTTCTTCTTCTTCTCTTTTCCATTCATTTCCCATAAAAGCTTCCGCCGGCAGCCGAGTTTTCTTAGAGATGGAAGTAGTTGTTAGAGTCCCTCCGGCTGCCGACATCTTCAACATCGGCGGCAGCCCTTGCTCCTCCCACTACCTGTCCGCTCCTACCAGCCCCTCCCATGCCTTCAACTTCTTCTCCTTCGACGACGACGACGTTCCCATTGTCTCTCCCTCCGCTGTCCCCTTCGGCTGGGAGGAGAAGCCCGGCATCCCCAAGTCCCCCAAGTCCTCCTGTACCGATCAGGATTTTGAATTTGATTTTACTTCTCAGTCGTTTAGTAAAGCTTCTCTCTCCGCCGATGAGCTCTTCGACGGCGGTAAGATCAAGCCGCTTAAACTCCCGCCTGGATTTCAGGTACCTTTTTCAATTCTCTCTCCCTCACTTACATCTATGTTCTCTTATTATTCTTTTTTAATTTAAGATTATTATCAGTAAAATTAGTTTTTAATGAGTATTTTTGAAACACGTTATTAGAAATTCCATCGATAAGTATTTTTTAAATTTAAAAAAAAATGTAAAAAAGTTTTTTGAAAATCTTTAAAAGAAACTGGTATTTTTGAAAAAGTACTGAAAATAAATATTAACACTTTAGAAAAATATTTACTGGTAATCTTTTTTTTAATTTGAAAATATTATTGAAATAATTTAATATTTTATTTCTTTTATCATTTTTTAATTTTAAGAATATTATCCGTAAACTATAAATATTTTTCAATTTGTTTAAAAAATGTAAAACTAATTTTGATTTTTTAAAAAATATAAAAATGTTATTGAACCTTTTGAAAATTTAGTGATATTTTTTAAATGATTTTGAAAGTAAAATATTAATTGTTTTTGGTATTTTAATATTTTTTAAAAATATTTACGGGTAGTTTTCTTTTTTAAAAAGAATTTGAAAATATTATTGAAATATTTGAAAGCAAAATGTAAAATTGAAAATATTTTTATTAATTGAACCTAATAATTTTGAAAAATCTTATTTAAATTTAGTTAATTTAATATTTTATTCAGTCGAAAATGTGGTCCCCAAGACCGCCTCGAAAAGCAGAGAGCAGCGTCGACGACCCATTTGAAGCAGCGCTGATGAAGGAAACTGCGCTCGACGGAGGAACAACCGATCAAATCTCATACATTTCCTCTCAAACTGCGCTCGACGGAGACGACGGCGGCTCCCTCGCCGCCGCCGTCAAATCAAAGTCGGCGATCTCATTTTCAAAAGCCAACAAAAGATGGAGGCTGAGGGACTTACTGTTTCGCAGTGCATCGGAAGGCCGATCGACGGCGAAAGCTGATAAATTGAGGTCAAAGTACGTTGTGATTTCTGAAAATATGGACAACGACGTGAAGATTTCGAGTTTCCGGTCGGCCGACGGCGGAGATTCGAGGTTTCATTCCACGGCGGCGAACCGGACGGTTTCTGAGAAGTTGATGATTACGAAGAAGGGACTTTTGCCCATCAAACCGGGTTTTCTGGGCCGTTTCTGCGGTTTAACCGGTCTAGTATGCCGGAGATTTCCAGGGGAATTGGGTCGTTGACACGTGGATGAACCAGCAAAATTTTTAAATTTAAAATTTTAATTTTTTTGGTATTGTGTTTGTGGGTGTAAGACATATTCATAAATGAATGATTTAAGAAATTGAAGTTATAAATAAAACTATAAATTAATAAAAACATTAGAATGAATTAAAAAATACCCAATTTTAAAAAGTTAAAAGTAGATTTATAGTTATAAATAAAAATAATTAATATTTTATTTTAAAAAATTTCACTTAACCTTTAAACTTTTCAAAAACTTCAAACAAACGTGTTCTTAAAAATAATTAACATCCTTAAAAATAATTAATATTCTTAAAAGTCACATTAATATCCTTTCAATTTTTAAAAATTGTTTTAATTTTTTTTTACACCACTTGTCACGATCTCACTCTTGATGGATGCAGACTTGCGATTATGCAACACTCACTTTCCAACGACAAGTGAGTTAAGCCAATTCGTTCTTACGTCACCTACGGCCAAACGACGTATGCTCGAGCCTCTGGTCTCGATTTTAGAAAACGAGGACAGACAGAGATTTTTGAAAGAGAGATTTTGAAAGATACGTTATATATGCAAGCAAGAGAGTAACATCAACAGCTCACTCATGATATATAACTAGATAGGAAGAAGTTGACTAACTAATAAGATAAAAAAAAATTTATGAGTATATTTTTAAAAATAACTTAATTTTTTTAGATAATTATTTAATTAGTAAAAAAGAAATAAATAAATAAATTAATTAATTAGTTGCAAGAATTTTCAAATTCATAAGAAGCTTCATGAACATAGTTTTATATTAAAGTTGGGTTTGGTAGTATAATTAATATAATATTGTTGTCGGTTTGATAAAGCATTGACTATCGAAAATGAATACAAAAATAAGCTATTGAAATGGTCAAGAGTCATCTCGAAAAGCATATGATTAAAAAAAATTGTTATTAAGAATCAGAGTCGGTTTCTTCTTCTTAATTTTTTTCGTCACTTCTATGCCAAGACGTTGCATTTCGGGTTTAAATATGTGTACATACAATCAACAAGAAAAATCAAGGGACCATTTTTGTTGTTTTAAATGAGGTCACCGCTCCTGACTTGCATTGAATGAGGATCGTCTAGCTGTTTAGCTCAATGTTAACTGACATATAGAGACACTGATTACTTAATCCATGTCGGAAGCTAGTTTTGAGAAAACACATGGACCATCCATAATGACCAAACTGTACTAAGATCCCGTGCAAAAAATTTGGCAACAAACATAGATTCACCCTATACAACGACTTTGATGGATAACTATCTGGTCACGTCACATAAGGGTAATTAACACAATAAAATAATTGTCATCATAATAGCTAAATCATTATCAAACGTAGATTCAACCATACTTTTCATGCATCATATTCATACGATACATAAACCATGATACGTGCACGTTTATCTAAGAATTTTAGAAAACAAAACATTTAAAATTTGGTTATGGACCATCATCATAGGACCAAAATCAAGACTTTGATTTGCTTTATGAAACCGAAACAAATCTTAGGTCCACCTATGTGGTGATCTCGATCGCGCCTTCCTATTACCTTAGTGAGTAATTACCGGTAAATCATTTTATTATATGTAATCAAATCATATTAAAGATACGTCTTATAAACAATGTCACGATGCACAGTATATTTAAAATTTTATAGCTCAATCTCATGCATATACATCTAACAATTTTAAAAATAAAAAAAAAATGTTTATCATCGAATGTGATTATCGTCCCCTTAGCTAGAAGGTACATGCCACATCGCAACCAAAACACGTGAAATCATAAAATCCATGAAATTCTAGCTTTGAATAAGGAATATTGAGGCATATTAACATTGAAAATCAAACCAAGACGAGAAAAGTGGAGGGACCAAATGTGTCTAATGGTCTAATGGTCCAATTTGATGTTCTCGCCTATACTTTTCTTTGGCTCAAGCTTTCGAGTCGTATAGACCACTTTTCGTTAATGGTCGCACCCTTCCGAGCTCTTTCTATTTGTCTTTGTGCTATAAATCTAGTGGAGAGAGTGACATAGTTGAATATTGATATAATTAAACTTATCAACCTACCCACTTAAATTTTTGTGTCGGTTTAACATAGCATCAAAATAAAAAGTACTGAATTTGAATATTTATAATGTTGTTTCACGTAAGCTTCCATTAGCTACAGTAACAAAAAAAAAACTGAACGAATAGATCAAAATATTACTAAACTCGAGCCTCACCGAAATAAATAAATAAATAATAAAGCTAAATGTGGAGTTGGTGTTGGAATGTGTTAACAAAAAAGACGTGGTTAGAAAATATTGGTGAAAAGAAGAAAGCTAAGCGTTAGATTTACTTTATTACAATTGGGCAATTGTGAGTCTTATTAACGTCACTTTCTATCGTTCTCTTTAAAGTTTTCCCTTTTTCGTAAAGAAAGCTTTCTATGGCTTGCAAAGTTTTGACCGAATTTTTCAATCAAAGTGTTTGTATTTAAGAAGCATGAACTTTATGATATTAGTGGTGCTAAAATGGCAAATCCCATCACATCTATAACGACGCAGGCAATATTTAAAATTTGGATTCAGCACGTGATGATCTTGATATTCTTCTATGACATGATCATATTATTTTTTTCTCGCTTGTAAGAGTAAAGACTATCTCTACAGACCAACACGAGTTCTTTGAGCATGTTTTGTCTTCACTCGTATGTTTCATATACTCTTGTTAGTATGTGCATGTAGTAACTTTCTATTCTTTTAAATTTTTATTAATTTTTTATTCTCAGAATCGCTCTCATTCAGATGTTGTCCCATTCATTTATGTACTCTTCATTTACTCGAATGTCACATGACCATCAACTTTCGCTTTGGTTCGTCCCCGAACCATACTTTATTAGGAGAGGTACCACACTGATACCATTAGTAACGACCCATGTATCAAGTGCCGTATCTGGATTAGTAACAACCTATGCATTAAGTGTCATATCTGGATTTTAAATCTTATGTCTCACTCAGTAAGATCCATGCATTTGGTTAAAATATCTAAATTTGAATAACTACTTTTAACCTTCTAAAATGTTTACCCCTCAAAGATTTTTGCACAAAATTTTTTATAAACATGTTCACATGTTAATACGAGATGATCATCGGTTCTAATGTTCTAATATTCTATTTAAATAAGATGAATTAAAACGATATTTTGTAAATAAGTAATTATCTTAAATATATTATTATTTTATAAAATTAGTGACTAGGCCATAGTGTCGTTTTTTTAAAATAATTTCAACCCATTGACGTGGACCAATAGATGTCCAGTCAAATGGGAAGACCCAACCAAAATGAAATAGACATTAGAGGATATGAACAAAGCTTTAAATATTTCAATCGATAAGATTTTCTTAATATTGACTAATCAATAATTAAAATTAAGAACGAGAGAAAATATGATCTATTCAATTTCAGCGTACAAAATAAATAATGTGCTAGAATTAACACTACTAATCATTCCTAATCATGATACTTTAGTGACTTAAAATTAGTGTTTATCACAAGATTTCTGTGTAGAGTGCAAGACATATGTATGGGGGAAAACATGTCAATCAAACCTACTAGTAGGAATGATGAGACATGATCATTTATGAGAGAACCTACGTCGATTGGAGAGAACGAAAACTACTTTATAAGAGTGTAAATTAGAAACCTTGAGGAGAAGCTTAAAAATAAAGTCTAAGGATAACAATATCTGTTAGCAGTGAGCTTGAGCCGTTACAATTTAGGGTAAGCAAGAAGATGCGCATAGTACCTATGGTCTCGTTGGTGTATTTCACAGAGAGATGTGTTGGACATCCTAAAGAGAAGGATGAAATAGAGTCGTCTTGACACAAACAACTGTACGTGAAACTTCCTAATCGTAAAATTTTTAAAAAATGGAAAACTAAGAAAAATAAAAATAAAATTGCTAAACAAAACCTTAAAATTTTAGTTTCCATTAATGGCTAGTTGCAAAACTTCATCGAACACAAGCAAAGCATGAAGAATAGCAAAACCCTATACCTCATTTAACTCGACCAATAAATCCAGATGGATCATCGTGAAAGAATTTTTCGGCCTACAAAAAGTCAGATTTGTGCTCGAGAAGATTATCGAGTAATCAGAGATTAAAAAAATAAAACATTAGAAATTTTGTGAGGCAAAAAAATATCAAATGGGCTACATGAAGCTGGCATGCCTGTAAACTCGAGCATGGTATTCGAAACGTTTTCCTAGTTATATCGAGCTAAATGCTTTCAGGAATGAAAATATGCAAGGCAGCCAAAACATATCATCCAAAAACTCTCCTAGAATTGTTCTTATATGGGATAGACACGTTACATCATAGCAGCACGACAAAATGAAGACAACGGCTCAACACAACATTCAGGGACCGACCATTTTTCTAAACCGCCTCAAATGTCGTAGTTTCAACCAACATTCAGCCATAATCTACAGCACCTTAGCATGTTAAGGAGACACAAACGCATCCCTTTGTTCCTAACTTACATACCTCAAGCTATCTGTCAATGCCATATTACTCCATTCTTGCAGTTCTCTGCCATTTCATATACATTTTTCTCAGACAACCAAATTCCTTCTCGAATCAACATTGAATCTACAAGAACAACATTGAATTCAGAACTTAAGATAGCTTAATCTAATAGCTTTCTCACATATGATGCAATCAGATGATATTACTCAACTAGCTTCTGCGTATGCATCATTACTCTTAATGTATCGGCCCAAGCCCATAGTTAATAAACAGATATTGTCCTCTTTAGGTTTCCCCTTCCAGGCTTCCCCTCAAAGTTTTATAACGCGTCTGCTATGGAGAGGTTTCCACATCCTACAAAGAAATGCTTCGTTCTCCTCCCCCACCATAAAACAGAAACAAAACTATCTATCAAACATGGCAAGAATGAAAAAACTACAAGAAAAACTTACATTTGAAGAACAGAGGCTGGAAGCTCATCTTCCCTTCAAAAGAATTGATTAAACATTAGCTATCTTGATGAAAGCCTATGATGCAAATCATCAGCCAACGCCTGCCTCACACTTTCACCATAGTAACACAGGGATTTCTCACTGTCAAGGATGTCAGGCGCAGGGCCAGTCTCCTCTGGATCCTTCAAAGGTTCAGGCTCTGGCTCCTTCGCAATTTGACACAAATTATGCAATACACAACAAGCAACAATGGTCTGTGGAGCATGGCTTAAACCCACATTCAAATCCTGAAGAATCTTCCACCTAGCCTTCAGCAACCCAATTGCGTCAACCACAACAGACCGACCCTTCATTAGCATTCCATCGAACAGGTTCTGTGCAGGCGTGCCGATGCCGTTTGGCGAAAATGGTGTCAACAGGAAAGACAACAGAGGATAGCCCCAATCTCCAGCAATGTAAGGACGAACATGGTGACCCCTAACATTGATAACCTTGTCCCATACAATATCACCAGAAGTAAGCCTATGGTACATTAGACTATCCCTAAAATGGCTGGCATCATCACTGCCACCAGGAGCTTTAACGCATACATCCCAGAAGATCTTCTTGTTGTCAGCAACGACCTGAAGCAGAACCGATGGATACCCAAATCGGCAATTGTAATTAGTCGAAATGCTCTGGTCGGCAGGCAATCGACGAAGCTTGATTGGACTGCTATCAATGGCGCCACACATATTGGGTAGAGAAGTCAATTTTTCAAAAGCTTGAGTTGTTTCAATCAAGCGCCGACGACTGACCGGAATTTTGATGAATTCAGCGTAGAGTTTGGTGGCCAAAAGACGGGTGACCATGTTGGTGATTTTGGAAACGAGATAGGGTTCGAGGGAGAAACGAGCAGCTAGGGTTTTAGCGGAGAGGCCATGGCAGAGACGGGAGAGGACCATGGCAACGGCGTAATCGGAAGGGAGAGAGAGATTGGAGAGGGCAATGTGGGGTTTGAGTTTGTCAACGATGGTGGTGAAGACAGGGTGGGAGATGCCATAGAGGGAGCGCCAATGGGCATCGCGAAGAGGGGCTTCGAGGGACCAGATGTGGTCAGTGGAGAAGGCGCGGAAGGCGGAGACGGAGTAATTGGAGGAGGAGGAGGTGGGAGGAGGGGGAGTGGTGGTGGAGGCAGCGGAAGGGGAGGAAGGTGAGTTGGGGCGAGAGGAGGCGATGAAGGAGAGAACGGAGGCGATGGTGAAGAAGAGGAGAGGTGCGGCGGAGGAGGAGGAGAGGAGGGAGGTGGGGGAGTTGAGGGAGGCGGAGGAAGGGGAGGAGGCGGAGGAGGGAGTGGAGGGGAGGAGGGAAATGGTGGGATCTAGGTAGTTGTGGAAATGAAGGAGGGTTGAGAGCATTAGTAAGAAGGATTGATCCATCGACTTTGGTTCTTCTCGCCGGAAACGGAGGTCGGTTTAGGGGACTGATTTAAGGGAAAGGGTTTCTTCCAAGAATTCCGCGACAGTTCTTGAGAAGCAGAGCTTGAGCCTGCTGCAACAATGGCGGATGCCCGGAAAACCAGATCGGTCTGGTTTACTCCTTCAACCTGCCCAAGCAAGACGGGCCTGGGTAGATCATCATCTTGGGCTCGGCCCATTAATTCTTCCCCATCTAAAAGGTATGAATTATTATTAGTAAATCAATTTTGAAAATAAATAAATAAATTTCGTTTAAATTTTTTTATTAATTTAAATTATTAAAATAATTTTCATTCCTTTATCTTAATTTTTAAAATTTTAAATTTATTTTGTAATAAATCTTAACTATTATTTCTTCAAATAAATGAATTTAATAAAATTATAAACAATTACTCTTATTTTAATAAATGATTTTAAGAAAAATATTTTTATATTTTTATTATTTTTTATTTTAAACTTTTAAAATGGTTTATTTTTTTACATCAACTTTTACCCTAAAAATTATAATTTTTAGCTCTCTGTCTAAAAATGTTTTAACCCGACCCATGCTCTTAATTTAATGTTATAAATGAATGTGGTTTAATTTAGGTTGCATTTAAGATTGGATGTAACACAGTAACCATTTTTGGACAATTATTATTACTAACAAATGCAGTTTTTACTATAAATGAGGAAGCAAAAACAACAATTTATTCATAACTTTAATTTAATGAATTTAATAGAAATGAACCATTTCACACTTAGAAAGCGTTCATATCATCAAGAAATTATAACTGAATTTGAATGTCATTAATTCAATTCTCTCTATAAAACCCCTCAGCCCCAAATACAAAGGCCATCATCAACATCTTAGACATGGCTTCCTCGTCTTCCGCTGCCATCCTCGTCCTCGTTGTCTCTTGCATGTCAGTTGTCTGTTCGGCCCGAGGTCCGAAAAAGATTGTCGTGGGCGGTCATCAAACGTGGGAGTTTGGCATTGACTATAGTGATTGGGCGTTAAAAAATGACCCTTTTTATGTTAATGATGTTCTTGGTGAGCTTAAATTGAATGCATGATATTGAATAAGGGCGAATTTGTTCAAAGGTTTTGTTTTTGCAGTTTTCAGGTACCCGGCTCCGAATGGATTCGGATCTCCTCATAGTGTTTACTTGTTACCGAACTTGGAGAGTTTCTCGAACTGTGATTTTTCAAAGGCTCGAGAGGTAGCGAATACGAGCCAAGGAGAAGGAGATGGGTTCGAGTTCGTGCTCGAACAATCTAAGACTTACTACTTTGCTTGTGGTGAACGCAATGGGTTGCATTGCGTTGATGGAAACATGAAATTCTCTGTGTTACCAAAAGCTTACTAGAAGAATATTCGTGTTCTTTTAAAAAAAATAATGCATTATCCAACCAAATTCATTCCTAACAACGTTATGAATTTCTTCTAATATGTCTTTATATTCATTCGAGACGTGTAAACTACATATATAAATTATATACAAATTACTATTGTTTAAAGTTTATTACAAAACGTAGACTAGAGAATAAGATACAAATTTAAACGATACTAAAAGACCACAAAATTCACGCAAGACTGACGGCCCTGGGACGACCCTGTCTATGACTGCATAGCTTCTGAATACTCCTCTATCTCGACCAATAGTCAGTGAAAATCTAAAAAACGAAATGTAAAATTGAGTGAGTACAAAATACTCAGTAAGAAACCTACTTGTAGGCTCTCATCGCATCCCATCCTAATAAGTTACAACGGGCTTTTCTTTGGGTTCTAGAAAGTTCGAGCCTAAATTCTACCTAATCTTCTGGGAAGGTCTTGAAGTTCTAAGTAGTTTTCTTGTCTATCATAAATCCACTCTGGGTCTGGAAGTTGTTAACTCATTTCTAGCGTACTGAATCTACTAGACAACGTAACTTAGCTTAGCGTACTGAATCTACTAGACAACGTAACTTAGCTTTAGAGTGGATTTTTTTTTTCTCGTACTTTGTAAGCTTACTTTGCCTTGGTAGATGGCGCGACTTCATCACATGTCAAAGGACAGTATGATGTTTTTCTCCAAACATCATTATGTAAGATTAACTAGCGATTCTTCCACATGAATCACCACAATGGCAAAAGTCTAGGGTAGTGATCTCGCATACTAACTAGCTGCTAAGTTTACCTATGTGTTCCATCTCACCCTCGGAGGATGAGTTTATAGTACAATAATACTATTCAAGGAGCCTCTTGTTAGCTTTTTGGTCCTTAATCTCAAATTAATTAATTGATATTTTATGATAACAAACGTGCATTTAATTACTAATAATTTCAGTGTTTTGAAGTGTCCAATAGTATAAAGATTGGAATGACAATTATAACCCCTTTTGAATCACTCAAATCACGACTAAAAGAAAAGATTAGAATTGAAATAGATGCAATAGAAAGACGATTCTAATACCTTTTGAATCACTCAAATCAGAACTAAAACGAAAAAATTAAAATTGAAACCGACAGAATAGAAAATATTTGACCTGATGACATGAGAACTGAATTGGCATCATCGACCAATCAAACAACGAGACATGAAGTTTGGGGAGAGTAACAATTGGTGACCGTCTTAGTTGCTTTTAAAATAAATTAATTATATATAATATTATATTTAAAAAAATAACAATAAATAAATAAAATTTTAACTTATGGTCTTGGTTATTATTATTTAAAAAAAAAATTCAAAATTACGACCGTTGATCATTAGTATCATTCTTATATTATTTATAATTTTAAATTAAAATTTAAAAAAAATTAAAAGGAAAAAATTTCAAATTAAGCCATGATTTTTGTCGCTCATCTCCCAATTTAGACATATCCTCTTCTCACAATTGTTCTTAGTCCTCACTTTTGCACTCTAAATAAATAAATAAATATATATATATATATATATATATATATATATATATATTTTTTTTTTTTTGAGTTGGTGTACGCATCCAACAATTGGTATGAGAACAATTGTTGGGTCTAGGGTTCGTGAAGGCCAAGTCTAGGAATACATATACGAACTTGCCTAGGATCCATGTGTGCGAGTGTGTGAGTCCCACGTTAGTTGGGGAAGAGAACGAAATACCATTTTATAAGGGAGTGAAAACTTTTTCTTTGCAGGCGCATTTTGAAGCCTCGAGGGAAAGCCTGAAAGGTAAAGTCCAAAGAGGACAATATCAACTAGTAGTGGACTTGGGCTATTACAGCGCACGATATAAGCCGTGTGCAAAGAAATACTACATATTCAATACTGCCCGGACTAGAAGTTGAGACAAATATCATGAAATGATGTTAAATGAGAAGTCTCAAACACAATTACATGTGATTGCATTTTCTAACTCAAAAATGGAGTCATTTATTGAGTATTTCTTTAAATACTCGACTCAAAGTAAAAACAAGACACTTATTCATGAGCATTTTATCTCGCCAAACACGTGGATTAGGTTAAATATATTCTAAGAAGTGCCTTCGAAGAAACCACTGATATCAAGCTTGAGCTATTGGTGTTACAGAGAACTTCATGGATCCAAGTTTGCAATGGAAGCCATTGCCTTCACCGCAAGCAAAGTAGTAAGGATTTTGCTGGTTGAGTACAAACTCAAAGCCATCTCCACTTCCTTGTGTTAAATTTGCTACCATTTTGGCTGTTCCAAAGTCACAATCCACCAAGCTTTGCATGTTTGGTAGCAAATAAACGCTATGGGTACGATCGTATTTGAATACTGCAAAAAAATAATTACTTTTCATAAGTTCGGGAGTGAAATTTTTTAATAATAAGCATTAGAAATCACGATGTTAAGGTTACCTAGAATATCGTTTAGATAAAAGGGTCCGTTTTTTAGTGCCCAATCATTATAGTCAAACCCAAGACGCCATTGTTCTGATCCACCTACGATGATTTTTCTTGGAATTTGTGGAGTCGGTGATGGAGGTGGTGATGGTGATGGGGATGGTGATGGTGATGGAGGTAGTGATGGTGGTGGTGGCATTGGTTGTGGTGGCATTGGTCGTGGTGGAGGTATTCGTGGTCGTTTTGATGGTGGTGGTGGTGACGATGGTGGCACCTGTCTTGGTGGAGGTATTCGTGGTCGTTTTGATGGTGGTGGTGGTGATGGTGATAATGGTGGTGGCACCTGTCGTGGTGGAGGTATTCGTGGTCGTTTTGATGGTGGTGGCACATGTCGTGGTGGAGGTATCCGTGGCGGTCGTGATGGTGGTGGCGGTGATGGTAGACACCTTGATTGTGGGGTTATAGAGAACTTCATGGATCCAAGGTTGCAATGGAAGCCATTGCCTTCTCCACAAGCAAAGTAGTAAGCTTTTTGTTGTTTAAGAACAAAATTAAACCCATTTCCACTTCCTTGTGTTAAATTTGCCACCAATTTAGCCCTTCTAAAATCACACTTGTTCAAGCTTTGCATGTTTGGTAGCAAATAAACATTATGAGGAGGAGTTGAACTGTTCGGAGGATCGTATTTGAACACTGCAAATCGTTGAAACCATTCCAAAAAGTTAAGCTTCGGAATTAAATTTTGTAGATAAAAATGAATTTATAAAAAGCTTACCTAGAATATCGTTCACATAAAATGGACCATTCTTAAGTATCCAATCATTATAGTCAAAGCCAAGACGCCAATATTTAGAACCACCCACTATAATCTTTCTTGGATTTTGTGGGGTCGGCAATGGTGATGATGGCGGTGTTCGAGGCCGTGGTGGTAGTGGTGGAAACCATCGCGGTGGTGGTGTTCTAGGCCGTCGTGGTGGTGGTGTTCGAGGTTGTCGTGGTCGTGATGGTGGTGTTCGAGGTTTTTGTGGTCGTGATGGTGGTGGTGTTCGAGGTTGTCGTGGTCGTGATGGTGGTGGTGACGGTGGCAGACATCTCCATGGTGGTTGTGGCAAACATCGTGATGGTGGTGGCGGGAACCGGGGACGTTTATGCCTAGAACTGAAAAGAAAAGTGGTATTACGAGCCCTAAACCAACTCGGGTCGGCCGAGCTTAGAGTTGACATGCACGCTAACACGAAGAGAACGATAACGTTAGAAAATATGGAAGCCATAGTTAGAATGTGAAGCTTTTCCTGATAGTTTTGTGAGAGTAATGGGGTATTTATATTGTGAGAAATGTGCAAAAAAAATCAAATATTTGGTTTGTAAAATGTCCACAATTTGGGTCTTCCACTTGTGAGCCTAACTTTCATTAAACTTTTCATAGTGCAATTCAAACATGATGGCAAGCACTAATGGTTACCCAAACAATTATTAACATCATACGAAGTGATATTTTCACTATTTTTTTAACATGAATAATATATTAATTCAAATTTTCTCGACTATAATAATAATTTATTGAATTAATATATTGACAACGAGAGTTTCTTAATGCACCACACTTAAATGGTGTGCGAAACCTCTGTATTTATAATCAAATACATTACAGGATATGGAAACAATAATATATGGAAACATTAAAAAACAAATATCTTATATATGGTAAACTATAATTTAGTATTAAATATCCTTAACATCTCTATCTTTGAAAATATATGGAGCTTAAAAAATTTCTCTTTGAAGCGGGACGAAGACGGGCAGATCAGAGAATTGACCAGGGATGTGGACGGAGAATATAATCCCCGTCCTCAACCTCATTTATCTAACGGGAAAAAATCTCTTCTCAATCTCTCCCTCATTCTCCATTTATACAATAAATCTCTGCCTGTTTAGTGCATGTTCCCAGGAGGCCTCCACCCAACCGTTAAATGGAATATTATCTCTAATTATCTTGATATTTTGTAGACCTTAGTCAGTAAATTAGAGTATTTTTAAAGTTTCAGTCTATTAAATGTTCAAGAGTATTTTTAAAATAAAATATTAATTTCTTGAACGGAAGACCAATGATAGTTGAATTTTTATAGGAGTCTTGCACTAATATAAAGAGTCAATAAAAAAAATGGGAAACCTATGGTTTTAATTATGGGTATAAATGAAAAATAATAGTGTGACAATTTGAAGCATAAAGGTGTGGTTTTACCAATATGACCTCTCTAAATGTGATGACATTTTAGTGATGTCATGCTGATGCTCTTCTATCCATAATATATTTCTTTATTCAATAACTTCATTTAGGTTTCTTAATTTTTAAAAAATACCATAATTGAAAGTGGTCCTAATATGGAGTAAAACGGACCGAACATGAAGGTAGTCGAGCTACCATCAAAAGAAGAGAAAAAGAGAAATTTAGGTCAAAGTCCAAGTTCTCTGGTTTGAGTCTGACCTTATGAAGCATTCTCGACCCTGTGATCCTAGCTCATCCCAATTCTGCTTCTCTGTTGTCCTAAATCTAAAAAGATATGACGAAACTCTTATGGAAAGGTATATAAACACTTTTTATCTATCGGGACAATTTATGTCACCACTGTGCACTACTGTAACAGCCCAAGTCCACCGCAAACAGATATTGTGTGGTTAACTCATTAAGTATCACCATCAGTCTCACGGTTTTAAAATGCATATGCTAGGGAAAGATTTTCACACCCTTATAAGAAATGTTTCGTCCCCTCTACAACCGACCTGGAATCTCACAACCACATCGATATGCATGTTTTTCTAATTTTGGATGTCACGTTCTTTCCCGACCTATTCTCTATGTGTCTATGAATTTCGGTTAAAGTTTCATGGCTCCAAGTGGAGTGGGGATTGACTTAGTATTTTCAACCCTTTCCTCTTTTCTCTTTGCTTTTCCATTGATGGTGGAAATGGAAACTTAAAGATTTGGACTTTATTTGTTGTTTGGATGGAGGCTCACCAACCCATTTCCTCGTCTCTTAAAAGATCTATTTTGGTTAATCTACCATTTTGAAAATGGTCCAAGGGCTACATGTACCTTATAATAATTGTATGACTTTTTCGATTTTTTAATATGGAATCTTCAACGTGTCGGTACCACTTTCGGTTTACCATTTTTTAACTCAATACTCGTTCGGGCTTCATGGGTTTACCATTTTTTAACTCAATACTCGTTCGGGTTTCATGAGTTTAGCTATCATATTAAATAAACATTGAGTTTTCATATCAAACTCAATTGAAAATAAGATGAACCGTGAGTTTCTCATCTTCTGGATGTGAGAATCTTAACAAATTTGTTGGGAGAGGAGTTCCACATTGACTAAGGGAATGAAGTAAAACAAAGTAACAAGAGCTTATGCTCAAAGTGGCATATCATTGTTAAGAGATGTGGTTCCTAACATGGTGTCAGGAGTCATGCATTTAACTTAGTTATGTCAATATAATTCTTAAAAATGTCGAACAAGGAGATTGTGAGTCTCAAAGTTGTAGTCAAAATACTCGCTCTAGAGAAGGAGTCGAGCCTCGATTCAAGGGAGGCTCTATGATGTACTTTGTTCGATGGGAGAGTCCCTAATTAAGGGAATGATTATGCGTAATTGGTCACTTCACGATATCATATAAGCCTACATTAATACCGGGTCTCTCTATTTCCAAACAAATTTGTCCATCAATAATATGGATCACATTAGTGGGAATATAGGCCGATATGTCTCCAACTTGTATTTCAATCACGGGTAAGGCGGTCAAGCTACCTGCATCTATCTAGTCCAATCGTTTAGAAACTCTTTCTAAGGGACGGGAATGTAGAAATGTAAATAGAAAGCTTGCTTGAAAAAGCCTCACGACCTGGTGATCGGCGTAACAATAATGATATTTATCAATATGCCAACGCCTATCACTATTGTAAGAAGTTGTGAGATTCGGAGGTGTAGTCAATTGGGTAAACTAAAAGTGACTCAACAGCTATTCGAGAGTTCCATAAGCCTTAAAAAAGGCTCTATAATGTACTTTGTTCAGGAAGATTGTCGAGGATAGCCAATATGAAATTAGTGTGATTTAACTTAAAATGAATAACAAAAGGACTGAAAATCCTTCAAAAGCTCAGTAGCAAAAACACAAGAAAAGAAACCCCTTTTGGGTTTAGAATTCAAGCCCCTCCATCTGCCTGTAAATGTTGCTCTCAATGCCCTTGTTCTTCTTTTATCTCCGGCAGAATTGGCATTGCCATAGGAACATCGCCTCCCGCGTGGCCGACCGTGGAGGCCTCGACGGTGGAACGTCGTCAACCTTGCCATCCAAACAAGATGAGCATTTCTTCTCAACCCATCCTTCAACGTCATACTGACCACCACCAACTACACGACGACCTGAGAAAAGCCTCCCGATCATCCCGGCTACGGTGCCGAGAATCACAATGACTACAAGGACAGCAATGACAGGGCCGAATGGCCCATCGGCACCAACATGGCTCGAGGCAGCTTGTCGGGGCATCATCTCAGCTGTGGCAATGGACATTATGTTCAAAGAGAATAGTTTGTGAGGATTTTATTGGTGTCTTTCAACATTTGAAGTTAGTGTGTGACTCAAAATTGTGTCTTTATTTCAAAAGGTGAAAGGGTTTCAAGGGATTGAAGTTAGTGCGTGACTCGAAATTTTGGATTGATCGAGTAATTTCAATAAATTTCACAACTCAATCTAACTCTCTATCTTTCGGTTGTGTTGGGTTGGATAGTCACGTTGTTCTTTTTTTTTAATTATTTTTAAAAAATTATAACTAAAATCTCATCCCGCTCAAATATTTAAAGTTATTATAGATTAATTTTTTTTTAACTTAAGGTAAGATTGGGTTGTAACCCTATTGTCGAGTTTGTGGGGTTTACGGGACAGAAAAATGTAAACCCACAAACCAAATTGAATTTTAGGTTTTTCAAAAATTTATCCCGACCCAACTTTTATAATTGAGTAATTCAAATTGGTCGGATTATCATGTCATATAAACACTCATAAAAATAAAATCGTTCGTCCAAATATACGATACATCTCACAACCCAACTAGGTCATTTTACCAACTATGAACTCCTAACATTTTATATGTATTATCTTTCAACCAAAGATAGATCTATAAACATAGATCCATAAAGAAAGCTTAAAATTCCGAACTCTTTGTTTTTCATATAACTTCCCTATCGAATATACTTTCAACCCTTTCTCGCCCTGATTCGTTCTTCGTTCTTCGTTCGTTCTTGAACACCTTTTAATACCCATCATCGACTTTAACAACGTGACAATTCTTTCGAATCTGCCCGTCACGGCCACTCAAAACCCCAACCATGTTCAACCTAAACATCGACTCAGCAAAGTCATCATAAAACAAGTTCGTATCAAAACTATATTGTCTAACCATTTGAGCTGTGTTGCTGTCGGCCATTAGACCATGGTCGGACTCCAAAAGCCCCACGCCACTAATCAAGTTCGTGTAATACTCATTGTCGAACCTGTCAACAGTGGCCACATCCAGAGGGGCCAAATTGGCGTTGGTGCCGTCGTTTCTGTTGGGGCACATGGATTGCAAGTCCGAGAGCATGGCTGCGTTGATGTCAGGGTCGGGCTGGCCGGAGCCCTTGTAGTTGAAGAGGCGGACCTTGAATGTCACGCAACGAGCGAAGCCGATAGTGTGTGCGCCTGATAGCACGACGAGGTCCTTTAAATCGAGGCCCTTTGAGGTGAACTTGGCGGTGTTATTCTCTAGAGATGCCCTCGGAGATGGGAGTTGTTCTTGAACGGATTTGAAGTCTGCTTTTAAGCCATCTCTACGTCCTAGTGGAAGGCCCCAAGATGGCCCTTCGACCTATGTGGTGAAATTAATACTCTCGTGTTAGGTGAATAATAGAAAATTTGAGCCGGCTAGCAAATTGACATTTTTTTTATCGGGACAACTCAACCAACTTGAAAACAGGGTTACAACTCAACCATATCCTACCTAACTTTTAAGATTATTAGGAAGATTAAGAATATTTGACGTTTGTAACAGATGTTGGTGATACATTGTAAATGCTTGATATTTGAGTTTTATGAGATTTTGGTTATTACGTTAAAAAAAGAATCACCCGACTACTCAACTCAACTCAACCCAACCCAGGTTGGATTGAATTGTGAATTTTACCTCGGTTGCTCAGGTCACTAATCCAACCAACCCGAAACTTTTCAATCTCAGTCTAGGCAAGAAAATAAAACGAAAATGGTAGAAAATAAAGAAGAAGTAGAGAGGAATTTACCAGATACACAGCTTCTCTAGTTGCAAGACCTAATATATCAACACAAGAAACTGTCTCGGGACAATATGCTTCAACATCTGCTTTTATGGCATCGATCACTTCAAACCCTCGTAGCGATTTCACATTGCCCGGAGCATTTTTCTCACCTTTCATGTCTTTAGTATCATCAAGCAGCACCGATGCATCACATCCCTAAAACAACACAAGAACATAACAATTTCATCATCATCATTATCATTATCATTATCACTAACAACAACATATAAACAAACTTTACATACGTCTACAATACAATCATGGAACTGCAACCGTAGTAGCGATGCAGCAATTCTCGTGTCATTTTGTACCGCCTCCCAAATATGATCTCGAATTATCATAGGCAAATGAGGGCACGACTCGTCGTAAAAATCATATCTTAGCTCGGTGTTAGTCGAGATAGATTGATCGAAGAAGAAGAATGGAAGAATTAGGAAGAGAAAAGAGAGGGTAATGGGAGTGTTTGGAGCCATTTTTTTAGTTGATAAGTATGTACATTTTCATGGTTTGGTTTTATAGGCAATGAAAATTGGATCCAAGGCTTAGCTTTGTGGCCTTCCCACTAATTATAGCATAAAACAAGATCAAGTTGGCTAAGGGAATAATTAATCATGTTTAATGAACATGATCAACATATCCTTTCACTTTTAATTATTTTATTTCTTGATTGTTGATTATATGCGGTGGCCATTTTGATTTGGAAAAAAATTGCATGTTTACATAATATAATATATCTTAGCTCCATTTATAATGGATATGAATGTGTAATCTAGTCGATATTCGAGCATATTATCAAACCAAGTTGGATTAGATAGCATTTTGGGTTGGGTTGAATTGGATTGAGTAATTTTTTCTGAAACCAGATCGGTTCGGTTCAGTTTCAAATTTTGAGAACATAAATTCGAGCCCACTTTAACCCGTCCATTATGAAAATAAATAAATAGTTATAATTTTAGCAGACAACTTTTAGGGTTTTCTATTTATAATTTTAAAGCGGGGTCACACATGCTACATGTGCATGTATATTAAATCATCTGCAACACAATCGATGTGCCTTTACGCTAGGCCAAGTCATTTAGCTTGACCTTGCCTCTACTCAAGGCCAAGGTCTCTCAATGCAATGTCACATCCAACGTCATCTTGGTTTTCAATTAACATGACCCTCGTGTCTTGACGTAATCCTAAGTCACATGACATCGTTAGTCATCGTAGCTCACTTGGTCATGCCCGAGAATAGGATCGCATATCGCTCATAACATTGAGACATCTCAAACATCAATTCATCCTAATTCTATCGAGGCATTGGCCCTCTCGTGCCCATGTCATGTGATTTACGAATACCATACCAGATAGCGGGTAAAAAATTCAACCTCCGACATATGGGCATAGGCGCAATATCGACACATCCGTGAATTTTAATTTTAATTAATTAGTCAAACGTAATTAAAAATAAATAACCATGACTATGATGTGTGAGATGTCACAATTAAACCATAGTTTATAATAAGTATAGGATTAAATTTAATGAGGGGAATAAGAATAAATAATTCTAAAAAAATATACATTAAAAAAATCTAAGAGAGATTATTTTCTCAAAATAAATAAATAAATAAAGTGCTTTTTAAGTTCAAATTAATATATTGATTTCCCCTTCGTCATTAATCAACCACGTTCACAATTTTAAATAATTAATTTCTTTATATCTCTCCCTAAGTGATTTTTTTTTTTAATCAAAAGTTTATCCGAATTGTCGTGACGTGTAAGAGAATTGGTTAAACTTACGAGCATATCAGGTTGACATTTCGTTAAAAGTATTAACATAAGAGATAAAATCAAAGCATGGTTTAAATTTAGAAAATGTAATTACAAATGTTTTAAATTTAAAAAATCTTTTCATTCTAGGTTGAGTATAAACGAGAAGTGATTATCGGTCTGATTTAAGTCAAGTATTGTCTCAAATATGTCATATGCACGGTTGGGATTAAAACATATTAATGTTGTAAGGTCCTGTTCAGGATTCATACCATAATTTGTAGTCTAGTACAGTAGATATTGTCATTTTTGGGCTCCCCGTCAAGGGTTTAAAACACGTCTATAAGGGAGAGGTTTTCACACCCTGATAAGGAATTAATGTTTTGTTCCTTTATCCAACCGATGTGGGATCTACCCAAAGTCCTTGTTCGCACACTGCCTGGTGTCTGGCTTTAATACCACTTGTAACAGCCCAAGCCTACCGTTAACAGATACTGTTCTCTTTGGACTTTATCTTTCGGACTTCCTTTCTTCTAACTAGGTAGAGGTTTCCACACCCTTATAAAAAAAATATTTCATTTTCCTCTCCAACTGATATGGGTTCCTCACGTCCGAATTCAACACTTACTGACCTCGACATTCTTCTGCAACATAACCTCGTTACCTACTTATCTTGAACTACTTTTAAAAGCGAAAATTATCTTCACAGACCAACACAGATTCTTTTGGTATGTTTTGTTCTCACTCACACGTAACCTAAGAAGATCTTCAAAATGTCACCCAAAATAGAAGTAGTCTACAGTGAAATAATGCTACATCTTATTATTTTTTAAAAACAAATGAATTTATTTTAACCCATAAACAAATAATATATTAATTATTTATGGTGCCTTATTTCTAATACACGTGTCATCCACTTAACATTAAATTATTAATTACTTTAATTTCCACAAGATAACACCCACTTCAATAATTATCTTCCTATTATTTTTTTTTAGCATGAAATTTCAACATTTTCAATCAATATTTTTATAAATGAAAGTTTGGATATATATGAGAAAGTGATATTATTTTCTCAAAAATATCGTTCATAAGATATTAAAAAGTATGCATGAAAGGCTAAAATATTCCCAATATAAAGTATATTAATTTTAATAATGATATTTATAAATTTGTATGCGCTAATTTTTCGATTAAGTATATAATTATTTATCGTCAAAGATAGAGGGCACGCGGTGGCATTCATATTCATAATATTTGAGTGGACACGAAATGGAGTCTACTTTTGTTGTATAAAGAAATAGTACTCTTAGTGCTTCAACTACTTGACATCTTAATATATGTTAGATTATTGATATCAACGAAATGTCTCAGATGTATTAAAATTTTTCTCTCGAGTAATTTTCAGGTGTCATTTTTTGTGGATATTTGGGAGAGTAAATGTTCCAAAACTCTAGAAAATTGAAGGGTGATTTGAGCCTAATTCCCGAAGAACATAGAAGAAATGTTACTTTTCATTGATGGTCATTCGGGTAGTGTTTTTTTGTTGGTGTTGATTTTCGAATATGTTTGAGAAAAAGGATTTGGGAGAGAATTGTGAAGAGAATAGGAATGATTTGAGGGATTTCGGGTGAGAGAGGGGCTAAAATGGAAAATATAGTTGAGTCGTTGCGTGAATTCGAGCAAGTCATCGGATTTCTCGTAATCACTTGTGACAAGCAATTTTTTTTTTTTCTCCCTTAAATCGGACTATAAGATAGATGCATTTTCATTCATCATTAGAAGAGTTCGAGCACAATCACTTTATCAAACTTGGACTCACGTTTCTTGGTAAAGCTTTTACGCCTTGGACCGTGGTTCAAAGCCTTCCACACCCTCATATATTACGTGAACTATGTTTAACCAACCGTCCCAACTTTATGCAATATATTTGTACTAGATTGTAAGTTATTTGATTAAAGTCGAGAAATTTAGAGTTTAAAAGTGTGAGATCCCACATCAGTTGGAGGGGAGAACGAAATATTTCTTATAAGGGTATGTAAACTATTCCATAGCATAAGCATTTTAAAACCCGTGAGCTTGACAATGATACGTAAAAAGCCAAAATCGACAATATCTACTAACGGTGGGCTGAGTCGAGAGGGGCACAACAATACATAACCGATCAAAACAAACAATACCTCTCTCTATATATATTTAACCAATTTGAATGTCATTCAAATTTTAAATTTATATTTTATATTTTAATATTTAATTTATCAAATTCTATAAATATTTATTCAAATCTGCATTTATCGAAAGTACTCATTTATCGAAAGATTATGATATGATTCTAGTTCACGTAAGACATCTTCACCCAACTTTCATGTATAGGAGTTTATAAATCGGGTCACGTATAATCATTCTGCAAAATATGAATTTTCTCCATTAACAAATTTCTTCGAAGAGATTAAATATTTCATGGTTCAATCGAAAGCATATCATTACAACCATATATCATCCTTTATTTCAATAACTCATATATTTCATTCAACCAAGCCTCTTAAAAACATTCCAAAAGGTAAGCTTGCTAACTTAAACAGGTTCAACCCCAATGGATTTCAACTTCACCAACGATCTTCAATACATACAAGAATTAATCCAACAACTCTATGCTAAAAAAATAAAAATTCCATTTGAATTTAGTCCAAAAAGCAAGAAAAACTCCAAAACAGAAGGGAAACCAACATGAAATGCAGTAAGTCAGACTCGACACGAACAGGTTGGAATACACGTGAACTCAACTAAACCGATTGAAAATCCATAAAATCAATCTGAAACTGGATCGAACGAGCCTCCTAAAACCAGATCAAAACAGTTTGAAAGACCAATTTTCTTACTTGTTCCAGTTGAACATTTCTGCTCACCATTCCTCTATGAAGATGGCAGCAACGATCATTGGGAAAAATCCAGTTGCGGCCAAGGAATCACAATGGTGAACCATGGTAAGGTGCAACACGACAGCAAACACCCTGAAATGGAAACGAGACAGAGAAGAAGATCGAAGAGCACAAAAACGACAACTTGAGGGAGATTTGAAAACAAAACAAGGCTTACCTACAACAACTGGAATCGTGCGATTTTCGTCCCCTCGCCGATGGTTGCACAGATTTCCAACACGTCGAAGAACAGGTCAAGACAATATGAAAAGGATAAAGCTAGAAAAACAGTTGAAGTTGCTCACAGTGAATGGATGGCTAGCGCCACATTATACAAACCAAAATCCTATCAAACATGTCGATTAAAAAGGAAAAAAAAAAAAAGAAAGAATGAAATAGGTAGCAGCAAAATTGTCATAGTTCCTTCCACCGTACTTAAACAATCAAAGAGAGATTTCCCTACATTTCTATTCATTCAAAATACAGATTTAGAATTTAATGGCTTGCCTCGTCCCATGGTGAAACCTTTCGTCCCATCCGGCATTCTCGGACTCTTAGAAGTGAGTTTGGACGATGCTTCACATAGAATCTGACTACTCGATTGCATAGCTGTAACTGGTAAGCTATAGCTACGATCGAGATGGTTATGAACTCGTCCACGACCCTTCCCACGGCCTCGACCCCAGCCCTTTTTAGATGATGTTGAGTTCTCCTCAGACTAGTACAACAGACATTTCATGTCACTTGGGAATTACAAATCATTTTGATCAAGAACGACATAGTTTTCGGGGAAAAAAAACGTACACTGAAATCAGTAGTTAGTTCAGCAATATTTGACTGAGGAGATTCTTGTTCAATAGATACAGGAGATGGTGAATCATCTTCATCCAGAATACTTTCAAATTCTGATTTTCGAGTCTTCAGAACTGATTTTGGCTATCCATCGTTGCAATAAGCATGGCAATAAGCATGAACATGTAAATAATCAAAATGCAGCAAGAGGAAACAGAATGCTACTGCTAAGATCGTGTTATTACACTTACCGAGCGTCTGAGTAATAACCTTACTCGGAGCCCTTTCCGCCAGTTTCTCTCATCATTTAACTTCTCAGCCTAGCAGGCACAAAAAATGGGGGAAAGACAATAAAAAGATTGAAAAACAAGAAACACGATCTGCTATAGCTTTACTATTAGATGCATACCGCTCTTTCAGCCAACTCTACGGTCTCGTATTCCACAAGTGCATGAAGCTTCAAGCAAATGAAGTAACAATGAGAAAGGGATTTTGAGGATAAGTGTCTTGGTTATACATTAAAGTAAAGCATGATTCACAATACCTTGTTACTGATAAATAATTCACCTTTAGAGCAGCACGGATTTGATTCCGGGGGATGACAGATTCGGATCGTCTTCACACTGGTCAGATATCATCAATGAATGAAGCTCAGTGAAGACAGTTTTAATATCAAATAGAACAAGGAATAAGACTGAGTGATGATATCAATGAAACTACCTCCCAATGACGCTAAATATTTTCTCGAGGTTGTGGTGCGAGTGATTGTCGGGCAAATTCTCCACAACGACTGTACGAGACTGCAAATCAATGAACAAAAACATTACACCTTGCTCAGCTAAAGATAAATGTTCTGCACCATTTGTACAATGGTTGATATCTTACCAGCAATTCCTCTTTGTCCTTGTCCGTAAACGGATGCTTACGTTTAACTTTCTTCCCATCAGCACTAACAACCTTCAGAAGATCAGATATGAATCACATTAAATCAAGAGTTCTTATTTTTCCAGAAAGAGTGGGAAATTGAGTGCTTAACTTAAGAACTTACAAGCTTTGAAGAGGATCGGAGAGCTTGAACTATCAAATTGTTGTTGGTTGAGAGGGACTTTACTTTTTTGGTGGACGAAATAACAGAAATTGGAACTTAACAAAGGGAAATGAAGGAACAACAAATCATAATTCAGTTAAAAACATATCGAAAATTTGAATTAACACAACCGGGTGATAGATTTCCAAAGATTATACCATAACCATCAGGATCTTTGCTAATGTTTTTTGCAAGAGATTCATTTGCAAGAAGACTCATGTCACTGAACTGATATTCTACCTGTAAAATTGAAATCGTTCATAAGATGCTCAAATGAATTTGATATGCATATGAGAAGGAATCCAATTGAGAAGAAATTCAAGGAGAAAACTACTGGAAATTCTTAGACAATATGTGCATAAGCTTGTCCAATGGAAATGGAATACTAAAAATGATAGCGATTCTCATCCTTCAATGAACGGGAAAAGCAGAGTTGATGATTAATCATTCAGACGGTCACAGCACAGGAATCAAGATAATGGAATCCAACGCGATGAAATATAAGAGAAACAGAGATAAAAAAGGAATCAAGAACAGAATAAAACAGGACACCTGTTTGACGATTTTTTGCTGAATATCCTCCGAACGGGCGTTCTTAGAGAAATTTGGGAGAGGAATGGTGGGATTAGGGATCAAATAGGTGGGTTCTTGATCGCCAATAAAGAACCAGTCTGAAGTAGCAGGAGCCCCACCAAGAAAATGAAAATAGGGATGAAAATAGCCGGTAACAGGCATCTGAGTTTGCGATCTAGGGAAGAACTCAGGCGCTTGAGCATTAAATTTGAAGGAAAGATTACCATTGCTATTACTACTACCAACACCATCGCCATTCACAGCTTCTTTGACATCCATTTCAGGATTCTCATTCACCTTCTCTTCCGAATTCGCTTCCGCCATTTTCTTCCTTTTTGCTTGCGATTAATCGAAGTAGGGTTTGAAACGCATATGGGTTATTGAAATCTCAATCTCTTTCTGTGTGTGTGTGGGTGTAAGATTTGGCCTGAAGTTTAGTAACAGAAATCTGTAAATCGACGCAGATTTCGCGGCCAAATATATGCATCTGGGGCTGGATCGAGAGGACGCTAGGATTTTGTGACAAAGGGCCGTTGGTTTCGAATTTGACCGACGATTTCGAGGTGGGAATTCTGCCATGGCCATCCATTTCGCCTTCTTCTCCAACGAAAATCTCGCCTCCTCCCTTCGCTCTGGTTAACGCTTGTGTTCCTTTTGATTTTGTAATGGATCTTCGTTCAAATTGTGGCTACAGATTATTTTCAGTGGTTTCAATTTTATCAAAAACGTTGTATTGGATGATGATTTACAAATAAACAAAATTAATTACCATTCTTCTTAGAGTATTAACAACATTATTAAAATTATTAAAATTATTTCAAGCAAACTACACTTAATTTGTTATTAAAATTATTTCAAGCAAACTACGCTTAATTTTGAAATTCATGTGATTGAGCTACGATAAAGAATAATGTGATTGAGCTACGATAAAGAATAATGCACGTTATTGATATAGACAATAATTTCAATTTTTGAAGCATTTTTTAGTTATTTCATTTGTGAAGCATTTGAATCTCAGACAAGTTTTAATCGGTTTACTCTTTTTGGAGTGATTCCTTGTTGTTTTGGATTCTTTAATATTTAAATAAGGTTTTTTTTAATAAGGTCGTTACGTCGTATTCTCAAAAGTTACAATGGTTTCGAGTGAAATTAATTTGATTTTGGGTTTTAGCATTTATAATCTAGAAATTTGTATATCGAGATTCACGACCCAATATTTTACTATGAGTCATGACTCAAAACAACAACGTGAATGCAAAGAAAACAGTTGAAAATGTATAAGGGCGGAATCATTTATTCCCATGAAAGAAAATTGCAATACAAAGGTTCAAACAAACAAAATTATGAAAATTTGAATGCAAAAGAAAAGACTCGACTGACGTCCCGGGACATGCATTTCTCTATATGACAATCCACCTCTCTAATCACACCCTACCTCGACCCAACGCACCTGAAAAAAATATAGATATAACAGGGATGAGTATAAAATTATACAGTAAGTTATCTACTCGTACGCTCTCATCCCATCCTAAGCTTAACAGACAAGCGATATAAGGTCAGTGACTTGTCACTCTAATCATGGATCCCTGGGCCTTATCATTGTAACTCTTTCTAAACATTATCAAGATGGTGCAAGCATCTAGAACTAGCTACATTATACACAGTCAAAATAGTCATGCTCAACCGGGGCGATAACATCCATTAGCACCCTATCCATCAACACCCGGAACGCAAAATTCACAATTTTCTCATCCACCTTTCGGGATGCATAAGTAGCTAGCGCTACCAAGGAGTGTCCAAAACTATTGATTTTCCTCAATTAGGTCCCTACTCATGTAAAAACATTGTTAGAATTGGAATCGGGACAAAAATTAGGCAAACAAAAGTCAAACGGGTAAAAAATGACCTTACACGCGTCGGGAAGGAGGCTAGTCGCAAGCGAACGCGCGAGTACCAAGCGTAGGTTGCTTTCGTGCAGTCATGGGTCAGCGCTCCGGTTCGGGTCACTGGTTCAGCTTGCTCGGATGGACCACAGGTTGGTTTGGTCGATGGGTTGTGGGTCGAGTCGAATCAACTCGTGGATCTGGAATCAGGTAGGGCACACAAACGACGCATTGGGGCCGCTTTGCTCCCCGTCCGACGCGTAGCTTTAGCCGATGCCTGACGCGTGTCACCGCCTTGCCAAGCCACACCTCACCAGTCGCCAGTCGACACGTGGCTGTCGGAAAAAATCTTCTCCCCTCCTATTCAAGAGAAAATTGGTAAGTTTTTTTTTCGAATCTTTACGTTTTTGTATCTTTCGATCTACAACTCGAATCAACACGATCCCTTTTGCATGTTAGCATCCTTAGGAGAGCTCTCGAACCTTTAACAAGCTTCCGAATCAATAGAAAACCTTCTACAGATAACACATCTATTAGGTCTCGATCTGATATGTAAAGTTACCTTATTTTCTATTTTAGTGTACACTAGTTCCACTTTTTCACCGTGCAATAGAAGGGAACGGGTCGATTTGGCTCGAATCTCTCAAAATTCTCACCTTTTTCCATGATTTTGCTTTATCCTAATATTCTTATGTTACAAAGCTAACAAACTCAATATTTTATAAAATTTTATTTTATATTCTGTGGTTGATTTTTAATTTTTTTTTTTAATTTTGATATTTTAAGCAATTTTTAATACATAATATTTGGTTAAATTTTAATAAGGTATGAATTTTTTTTTTTAATATTTAATATATATATTTTTGATCGTTTGGTTTAAAAATTACCATAGTATGTTTCAAAGCTAACAAACTCAATATTTTATTATATTTTATTTTATATTTTTATATTTTGTGATTGATTTTTTCAATTTTATTTTATTTTGATATTTTAAGCAATTTTTAATATATATATTTTTAGCTTATATTTTTGTTAAATTTTAACACTAATTTTTTTTTCAACGTATGGATTTATTAATATAATCTTTTATTTTTTTTAAATTTATTTATTTATTAATTAATTATTTTAGATAAATTATCTGAGAATAATTTTGGTTTATAATTGCTAACAAATTTTTTATTTCATATTTTTATGAGTTGAATCAAAATATTTAAATCTAAAGAAAGTTTATGTTAAAAATTAAACAAACTATATTGAAATATTAAAATAGTCACTTTAATATTTTAGTTTATAAATAAACCTAACTAAAAATAAATAATATATTTAAATTATTTAACTCTAATAAATTTTTTAAGAAACTAATTTAGTACTAAATATTTTATAAGAATAAAATTATTTCTATTTTTTAGACAATAAATAAAAATTATGGTAACAAAAATGAATATAAACGATAGAATGTATATCACTTCATACAATAGATCACTGTTCGACGTCGGCTTAGAATAAACTGAAGTAACGATCATTGTTCTTCCTGATGCAGTTGTTGTCTTCAATCTAACAAAACCGGACAACATCTCAAAAGCCATAAAGGGCGAGAGAGTCGGGACGTTGATCGGAGGAACATGGAACTCAAACGTAACAAGTACGTCACAACGATTCTTGTATAGTAGGGATTTGACAGGAGATTTTGACATCGATAGCTTTTGGAACAATTTGCACGAGATTCGTTTATTTAAGGTATTGAAATCTTTTGTAAGATCTAAACTCCACCGCTAGTAGATATTGTCCGCTCTATCTCGTACATATCGCTGTCAACTTTACGATTTTAACACGCTTCTACTAAGGAGAGATTTTCACACTCTTATAAGGAATGTTTCGTTGCTTTCCTTCTTTAACTAACGTGGGATCTCACAATCCACTCACCTCATTGACACATCGTTTGATGTCTGGCTCTTATACCATTTGTAACAGTTCAAGTCATTGTTCACTTTGGTCGGTTATGTATCACTGCCAGCTTCATGGTTTGGCCTGACCCATTACGTATTTGTTAGCCTCTTATTTTAAAACTTTGGAGTCCATTTGAGGAAATGTTCAAACTTGTATTTAATAAATTAATTAATTTTTTAATATTTTAGAGACTTTGTATAAAATCTTATTAATATTTTTAAAGATTAGATACTTGTAAAAATAGACCAATTTTTTAATAACATTTTAATGTAATAATTAAAATTTGGTTGAAATTTTAATACGTGGTCGTTTCTGCTTGGGCGAAGGTCGAAGCCTAGAAACTGCCTTTTCGGTTTCGTCCCTTTAAAACCCCCGAAACGAAACTCTGAGGTTTTTCATCTTCGAACTCAGTCTTTGCTTTCTTTCCGCCATTAACAATGACGAAGTTCAGAAAGCTTGGTCGAGATGCAGCTCACCGGATGTCTATGCTGAGGTTGCTCACTTCTTTCAGCAACTATCAATTAAGTTTTATGTCCCAATTTTTGAACGTCTGTTCTCTTCTTTTGGCAGAACAATGGTTTCTCAGTTGGTGAAGCACGAGCGGATTGAGACTACTGTTCCAAAGGTATCCCTATTGACTTTCTTCTTATCATTTATTGGAATCTCGATGTTTAACTTTTCTGAATTTTGCTTCTCCAAGTGATGCATTAGCTTCATGTTCACCCGAACCCCCTTCGGTTTCGTTGTTAGATTATTTTATCTTACCGAACTCTGAAGTTAATCGTAGGTTTGTTGCATTGTAAATGGAATTATCGGGTGGTTGAAAATTTTGACGTCTTGTATTGTCTGAACTGAGCTTAGGTTTTGTTTTTTCTTAGAATCTGAATTTACAGATTTGGTTAGTTACATATTTGTCATCTCTTTCCCCTTGGGTTGCATCTTTTCTGTTCCTTCAAATTTTAACCCCAAGCTTACTGTTGAAGGATATATTTCATTCCTTGAGATCAAGTATAGATTTTTTTTTTTTTATTTAGAACATCAACACTATTATGAATTTATGACCATATTTTCAACTTATTTCTGCATTTGTCTTTCAACCTGTTTGCAGGCTAAAGAAATTCGGCGGCTTGCTGATAACATGGTTCAATTTGGAAAAGAGGTCCGTAGAACTTAACTTTTGTTTTCCCTTCTCAATGTTTTATTTATTTATTTTCTTCTTTTCCCCTCACTGGGGAGGGTGTGTTCTGCCTCCAAGTTTTGATATAGGTTGTATGCTAAGAAGCACAGACAGTTTAGTCTGGCTCACATGTTCATGTTTGACAGACACTCCAACACTTATTGGACACTCGGTAACACTAGATTTGTATTAGATACTAGTTGTAGAAAGCCAATATTAATCCAATATTTGTAAACTTCTTTAGCATACTAAATAGACAAATAATACTATAGGACAAAAATAAATTTTTAGTGTAAAATACATCAAATTCATTGTATATAAATCCATTAAACTTGTTGAATTTAAAGTTTTCATACTGTATAAAAAGGATGTATATTTAAAAAAAAAAAATGCAAATTTTAACAAATGTGTCCTTACTGTGTGTGTCTGTGTCCTAGATTTGTAAAAAATGACATGTCATTGTGTTTGTATCGTATCCTTATCCATGCTTCATAGGTTGGATTCTTTATCAATTAGATTATATATGAAATTATATTTCAATTATTAGATGAAGGGCTATTTGGTAAAGGATAAATGCAAATGCCATGGTTCAAGATTTAGCTGATCTAAAATGAGTATGATGTAATAATTCGAGGGAGAGAAAAAGACAAGGCTCGGAGGTCAAGTTTTGCAATTCAATTCTAATGCAGGAAGCAAGAGATGGTATTGGGCATGGGCTTGATAAATATGTTTGCCGGTAACGGAGGAAAATTGGATTTGGTCTGGAACCAACATTGGAAGCTAAGCCAAATAAGAAAGAGGCATCTCCAATTAATGAGTTAGACCACTAAAATTTGGGCCCAGGATGATGCCTTTATTTCAAATCATTCTTATTTCAGTATTAGTAATCCTCAAAAGATGGAAACCATAAATTAATTACGGGATATCAATATGGAGAAAGAAAGACCTTCGGAAGGAAGATTTGTTGTAACTATTTGAAAGTGAAGAGGAAGCCGTGGTTTGAAGTTTGTTGGATGTTGTTGAAATTAAAGTAGCAAAGCAGTTCCAGAGACATCATATAATGTTTGATTTTAAAATGTAATGACTCTGCGTTACATAAAGGTGTATATAGTTGGGCTGTCTTCTGCTTACTCTTATTTGCACCAAGGACACTGTCATTTACTTCAGACTCTAACTTGCTGTGATCGAGAAGAAAACCAATGAAATCAACCACAAACAGAGTTCTTGTAAAGGAATTATTAAATTATCTTTGAAGTTGATTAAACTGTCTTTGCTTCAAAGATAGTTTAATAATTATTTTACACCTTGGATTGCGTGCAAAGACACTCTTCCTGTGTTTTGTTCTCGAAAGGGTGCACTCTCTATAGGAGGCTTGAGAAGGGTTTGGATCTTCTGTTTGAGACTGCCAATTTGCTCTTCATATTCGGAGTTGATGGCTTAGAGATTGATGGTAGAGCCCAGATTGGGGGTGTTTTTGCGCTCTCCTTTCAAGGAGCATGGTAGAGTTTTGTGGTAGGCCAATTTCTTTGTGTTTTGTGGGGATATCTGGTTTGGGAGGAATGATAGATTTTTAGAAAGGTCAAGAGATCAATTGATGATGTTGGTTAAGTGACTAGATTTAATGCCTCTTTCTGGACATCAATAACTAAATCTTTTTATAATTATGAGCTTTGTCTTGTTCTTGGGACTGTCCTTTTTTGTAGTTAGAGGCGTACTCTATTTTTTGTGTGTGTGTTAGGGCGGGTGTTTTATGTATGTCCTTGTATATTCTTTCATTTTTCTTAATGAAAGCATTGTTTATTATAAGAGAATCTTTATTTCACTATTTTCATTTTATTCATAAAAGATAAACATGTTGTGACTTTTTCCCCCCCAATCTAGGGTTCCCTTTGTGCTTCAAGGCATGCTGCTGCATTTGTAAGAGGCGATGATGTCCTTCACAAACTATTCACAGAACTGGCTTATCGATACAAGTGAGTCCCAAATTTGTTAACCCGTAGTTCATGCTTTTATTTATAAGTATTAAATTGGAGGGATGTTATGTTCAACAGAGATAGAGCTGGTGGATATACAAGACTTCTTCGGACGCGTATACGTGTTGGCGATGCTGCACCAATGGCTTATATAGAGTAAGTGCTTACCATCGACAGCTGCTATGTTTCTTCAGTTATACAGCTGTATTAAATAATCGATAGATGATGTATGAAACGGTTATAAATAAATACTGCTGGTACAGTTTTTAATTGATTATTTGTGCTGTTGATACAAATTTATTGAAAGTTGAATCAATGTATTAATTCATAATTTCTCTATGCTGTCGATACAGATTTATTGATAGAGAAAATGAGCTGAGACAGTCGAAGCCTCCAAATCCCCAACCACCTCAGAAGGCTCCAATGGATCCATGGACAAGATCACGGCTTAGCAAGCAGTTCGCACCACCCAAAGAGATCAAATCTGATACAACTTTTATGTTCAATAAAGAAAGCTTTTCTTTTCCAAGAAGTTCACCCCCACCCGAATTGTTTTGCAAACTTCAGATGTAAACCAAACGAGTATAGACACTGCGTTACATACATTATCTCTTTCTCCATAGGCTGAAAGCTTTCCCTCAAACAGAGAGTAATTTTCGGCTTTCAAAGTTGCCCATTTCTTGAGAATTCCCTCCGAGTCTCTCTCAAGTCTCATCTCAACTTATTAAAAAAACATATGGTTTAGGTGTTTTTGGATGAATATATAGGTGAGGACCAAGGGCGATGGTGGACTGTGCATCGTCTTGTAGACAGCCAGCAATTGCTCTGCAGCAGCAACAAAATTTGGACATGGCTTCAAATATTCCGAGCCAGGTATGACCGAGTGCCTTCTCTCCCCAACCCAGGTCTCTGCGTGCATGCATTTTATTGTATTGTCATGTGTCAAGTTATCACGTGTAGCCTACTTGCTTTGGAGGCAAATTGGTGACGGTTGGTTCACAGGGGAAAAGGAAAGCGGGTCAGATTTGTTTTTCTTTTTCTTTCAAAATTTGCTTCATTTATAATTCTTGAGAATTAATGCATTTCCTTCCTGTACTGTGTGTATAACTGGACATGTGACATTTTCAGTGGGGATTTCTTTATAATTAGTGCATTTTTTTTTGTCTTCTACATTTCCATAAAATGCTGAACACACACACACACACACACAGTGAAATTATGCATTCATACATTATTTGTTGAAAGAAGAAATTTAAGATATAGAAAGGCAAAAAAATAAGAAAATAAAAAAATAAATCGCTAAAATATATTATTTGTTGGAAATATATAATGTCCATAATGTATTGTTCTTAAATTTAATATAGTCGGGGAGAGTCTCAAAAGCTTTTATTATTATTATTTTTTTTAAATTCTTAGTTTTTTACCTCTTAATTTTTTGAATTTGTCGTCAAATTTACAAAATAAAAATGAGTTTATAATTTTTTTTTTTCTAGTTTTCAAATTTTGACTTTTTGGAAAACAAATAATTTCAAGGGTTATTTGTGAAGGAAAAGAATAAAACAAGCCATTATATTTTGACATATAAAGATGGTTTGGTAATTATTTAGTTTTTTTAAATTAAAATTTTAAGTTAATACACACTTTTTACCGATGTTTTTTAAAATATTTACTTTCTACCAATGAACTCATTTTTTTTTTTTTTTTTTTNTAATCTTCTACAGTTTTGTTGTATGGACGTTTTCGTATCTGGGTCTTGATCTCGTACTCGTTTTGTGTCGGACTGTATGTGCTGCGAGGTTCTTCAACTTCAAAGTTTGGGCCTTTCCCGTTACTACTCCCCATGCCCCCAACGCGATCAGTTACGCGTTCTTTCTTGTTTTCCTTTTCTTTTTCGCCAATGTATTTTTCTTCTGTTCTCGAGATTGCTTGTGCTTATGGGTATCTTTGGGAATCGATGACTTAGAATTGAGATGTTTTTTTTTTCCTTTTTGCCTTCTGCTCAAGTATTTGAAACGAGAGGTTGCTTTTTGAGAAACGGAGATGATCTTTCCTTAGGATTTGATTACACTTGCATAGAACCCTAGTTCAGCTGGATGTTAGGCAATGTTAAGTTGATGGATTGAGTAGTTGCTGAGTTGAAGATTAACGTCTGATGCCCAAAAAGAATGCTATACTTTGGAGTTGATAGTACTTCAATACTTTATTTGATTGTTGTCAGTGGTTTTTCTTGAGAAAGAAAAGGTTATTTGCGCTTGTGATTTTTCCCATGGATTTAACCACGGCTCTCACATCCTCTTTACACTATTAGTTCAAGTTTCGTAACTTGGAAGTCATATCTCTTCAAGTGCGGATTTTAAGTTGATCTTTGGAGGAGATTGGGATAGGGAGCTCAGGCTACCACTCTAGATGCAGCCATGAAATTTTATTGGTGGAGTACACATGACTTCGGCACCCTGTAGTCTTTTTTGACAAGTGAAAGTCGTCATGCTTGGTTAGTGGCTAGGTTATGGAAGGATTTATTCAATTGATTGAAATTAAAAGGAAATATCTTCTAAGCACATCTCGTAGGTGCTTACTTCATAAAAAAAAAAAGGTGAGCTATGTGCAGATTGTTAGTGTTTAATAGTGCAACATTGGACCCTTTTTTCTTGATGTTGGCATATACGATAGAGTGGAATGCTTGTGGCTTGTTTATTTTATAGTTGTCGTTGGAATGGGTTTTCTAAGTGATGTCATTGGAATATAGAATTTGGGGGAACATTTGTTCTTTTGAAGGCTAAGGTTTGGGCGTTAAGATTTTATGTTATATTATCTGGAGGTAATAGTTCAATTGATCATATTCTTTGGAGCTACAACTTTGCTCGGATAGTTTGGAGTCTCTATCTTGATTTTTTGATTTTCAGTTTGCTACTTATGGGTATAGGGAGATGATTGGAGAGTTCCTTTTCCATCCGCCTTTTCGAGAGGAGAGTTTTTGTTGCAAGCGAGATGAATAATAGGACCTCTAGAGAGGTTAGGAGGGACCCAATAAATGTTTGGTCCCTCATTAGGTTCTATGTCTTTCTTCGAGCGTCGGTGATAACATTTTTTTGTTACTATTCTCTAGGTCTTATTGTACTTGATTGTTGCCCCTTTCTTTAGTTGGGTTTCCTTTGGTGGAGATTGGTTTTTTGGATGCCCTTGTACTTTCCTTTACTCATTTATTTTCTGAATGGAAGTTCAGTTCTTTAGTAAGAAAACAGATCCGTTGGATTAAATACCCCCTCCACCCAAAGTCTCTATAAGAAACTGGAAGGCTCAAGTTTATCTTGCCAATCTAGGTTTTCTCGTAGAAACATTGTGAGCACGCTTCTTATTTTCTGCGACCAATCAACTGATTGACGTAGAATTGTTGTGTGGGGAGCTCAATTCATAATATCTGTGGGTGTGGATATGAAAGTCAAAGAATGGTTGTCTATTGTTTCATGTGCTCTTTGGCATGTTTGTCCATGGGAATCTGCTGCAGAGTTCTATCGGCATGCACATGTCTCGTCCCTTTTTTAGTTTTTCTTTCTTGCCTATTTTTTGAATTTTAATTGCCGTAAATTTTTACTACCGAAGTCTCGTTAGTTTAAGCATATCCTTGAAACCTACACAAAAAATGATTCATGAGCATCTTTAGCTCCACAGAATATGGTATTCTGTTTATATTTCTCTTAAAATACCGTGTGGCTGGTCTTAGTATTTAGAACAGTTGCAGTTTGGCTGATTTTCTGTCGTAGTTTGTAAATCAGATTATTATTAATTATCATTCATATTACTCATTAAAACTTTAGGGTGAACCTTACAATAATTTAGTTCCTGGATGTTTATTTATTAATTTACCTCTTGCTTAAGTCTTGGGTTCTTTTTCCTGCCAAAGTTAACTGTTCAGACCCCAACATGTTAGGTTCTTTGATAGATGCCCTCTTCTTTAGTTAATGTATCACGTAGAGTGTGCTAATGTCAAAATATAATTTTCTGCAGTATCTTCACGTGGTCGGTTGATGGAAAGATTAGCAATGGTGTTCAATAATAACTTATGGCAATGGCTTTCTGTTCCGCTACAAGAGCAATTGGGCATTAGCACAAATTCCTGGATCTAAGTCAATTTTTAAGTTCAAGCTTGTTTTCAAGGAATTTTATGAGAAAACTGTAGTTCCTCAAACTCAAGGAGAATGAATAATGGACAAAGTGCTTGTGCACTTCTATAGTGTTCACAAGTGTGGATAAATTACATGGTGAATTGAAAAGTTTACTTAGTATCTTATTAGTCGTTGAAGAGTACATATGGTTTGTTTGGAGGGTTTCCATGGGTAGTAGTTCAACTGGTCTATTTTTATGGTCGTTGTCCACTTCGAGCATTGTAAATTTACCCTTAAAGACAATGTAATTTATTCAATGTGCAACTCCCACCTTCTTTGTGACCTTTAAGTGGCTTTTTTATGGCGTGCTATGTGAGCCATCCCTTATACTAGCAGCGACTAATGTTCCATTGTGTACTATATTTCGATATTCCATGCAACCGAAGTGACAAATAAGGTGGACAAAGGGAGGGGTGGATTTCATATGGAAAGGAGAGTTTGGAGATACTTATTTAGAATATGCAAATGGTTATAAAGCTTCTTAGGGAAATTGAGCATTTTAGTATAAGATTATCTAAAGCAAATTCAACAAGAACAGGTGTCTTCTTAGGTCGAAGCTTGACTTTTTTTTTTTTTTTCATACAAGTGTTGATATAGCAGAGTGAAAAAAAGTTAATGAACGAATGTACTTCTCCTCGTGAACGAAATGAGTTAGGGAGAAAAATAATAGTAAGTATTTATGAGAAAGCTTGTAGGATGGTTCACTAATACGAGAAACGATGACAGCCACTTTTGAAGCATATCATGGAACGTCTCTAAAACTCAAATAGCCCTTGAAATTCTACTTAATCGAAGTCATGAATGCGGAAAAAATATCGTTTTGTAATGCTAAATGGAACACCTTACATGTTATGGTAAATTTCTAGCTTTTACCCTATGGTTGAGCTACATGGCATTGTTGGGAAAGAAATGTCGGAGGAAGATCTTGTGGATGGAGGATAATGATTAGGAAATCTAACGAGGAATCTCAATGAGGTCGAGATGATAGAATTTAGATACTTATTCTTGTTATTGAACCATGGTTCGATTTCTAATTGAAGGAAGATGGAATTGTGTGTTCGGCTAGAATTGTCAAACTATTTCCCTTTCATGATTACGGAGCAACAAACAACTTTTATAGAGGGGCGACAAATTCTTGATGCATTCCTCATGACATATGAACTTAGAGATGAATGTGAAAGAAAGAAAGAAACAAAAAGGTACAATCATTAAACTTGACATGGAAAAGGTATTTGACAAGTTCGATTGGACTTTTCTCGAAAACATTATTGTAGGATTCATTTCATCCACAAACTTCTCCATCATCATCAATAAAAGATCATGAGGAAAGATCTTTGCCACACAGAGTCTTCGACAAGGGGATTCACTATCCCCTTTTCTTTTCATAATGATAATGAATTGTCTCGGTCTTTTACTCACAAAGGTTGAATACGAAAGACAGATATAAGGCTTTCAGGTTGGTAATGAAGGCTTAAGCATCAACCACCTTCAGTTTGCGGATGGATACAATCCTCTTCTCTTATTTGTCTAATGTATCTTCCATAAAAAACATGATTAAGACAATAAAATTCTTCGAAAGATTCTATAGACAATATATCAATCTCCAAAAAATAGAGATTATGGGCAATTTTAGCATAGGGATGATTGAAGCCTTTGTAGCAAATACGGTTGTGAAAAGGGTGAATGATCGAATATTTTCGTAGGATTACCCCTAAATGGGAACCGACTATAAATCATTTTCCTTCTGGAAGACTATTATTAAAAAAAAAAATAGAAAAAAGGTTGCCAACGTTATAACTTCCAAAGGCGGCAGGCTTGCCCTAATACAAGCCACACTGTCCAACTTCCCCTTTTAGCTACATTTCTCTATTCGAAATGCCACAAAAAGTGGCTACAGAAGAAATAGAAAGACATTGTTGATAGACTCATCCTACAAAATCTTTGATTATGGACATAGGCAAAAAAGTAGAAGCAATAAATCCCACGCTAG